TTGTATTCCAGCTCCCTGATTCAAATGACATTTTTTGCTGGATTGAAACTTGAGTATATTGGGTAGAAGAGTGTCCCCCTTCTCTTTTTTCCCTGAATGCATTTCCACTCACCATCCTGCAAGTTTCAGCTCTGCGTACCCTGTTCCTTACACAGCCTCCCTCTCTGCCTCCCCCTGGGCCACCCACAATTTTTCCAAGGCTGTGCAACCCCCTCCTTTTTATTTCTCCTTATCTTTGTGACTTGAAACCAACCTGTGGAGGTTGCAGTGATGTGCTGGGGCTGAGCGGAGCCATGGTGGGAGGGTGCAGCCTGGCACCTGCTGAGCCCCTAGCGCCCAAAGCACGAGGCTGCACCTGCAGGATGTGTGGGAACCCTGCAGCTCTGTAAGTGCCTGCACACTTGAAGTCTGCTGTGGCTAATTAAACCCTTTTCCAGCACACCAGAGGAAAAAAACAAGTAATATCCGTCAGCCTCTTGCCACCCAAACTGTAGCATGCGTTAGAAAGTCCAGCATCGGCTTCACTTCCCCTGAATTTTCCCCTGTGTGAAACAGGGGTACAGCTGTGTCAGTCTGTTGTAGTCTATAAAGGAAAAGTGTTGCATAGGTGCGAGTATTATTAGCTGCTTAATAGAACTAGACAGCATTAAAAATGAACCTGGGGCAGATAGGGTGCCATAGCAGTGTCGGTTTAAGCCCAGTTAGCTGTGGAGTTATTGCTGAGAACTACTAAAGTGCAGGGCACAAGTAATTGCTGTAGCATTCCTGTAACTCTATCAGTAGTTTCTCTCTAGCAGAGCCACATCCAACAGGGACCATAGAGTTTCTCTACAGCTACAAAGATTGATTTCTGGCTCACATTTTTCAAGGTTGTCAGAAAAAAAAAGGAAAAAAAAATTGAACAGCTGAGCTGCTTTCTTATAGCCCAGCAGAGAAATTTCCTGACAGACTGCTGTGTTCTTTTGTACTACGTGGAACTCTGGTCAGTGCAATTTTTCCATACATGTAGGTTTTCCTAAGTCTAGATGACAGTTCTGGTCACCAGGAAAGCCGAGAGATGACTTCCTATCAAGATACAAGATTAATATAAATACATCATCAAAACCTTTCTGCCTTATTTCAGCTCATATGCAGACATGGCTGGTTTGTGGTCCCTACAGTTCTGTGAGGGGTTGAGAGGTGTCAAAATCTGCAAGACTAAGCTGGGAAAGTCTTTGAGGTTTTGTGAGAACTTCTGAGGGCTGGCAGAGCAGCAGGATGTGCAGAGTTATACAGCCATCCATGGTGCAACTGCATCCAGTTCCAGGAACTATCTTTTACCAGACTGTTTTCCTCCCTCTTTCCACTGTTACCTTTCAATACGGTACCAAAACCTGTTTTCCTCTGGCTGTCGTAGAACAAGGTGCCTGGTCAACTCGGTAGTTTGTAACAATGAAACTGGCATATTTAACTTGGAGATTTATTTTTTTTCTAGAGAGGCCTTGTTTGTTTGTGTTTCAGCTTTCCACCTGTGACTTCTGCATCCACAGGCTACCGCTATGTTCCTACTGAATCTCAGAGTTCCAAGTAGCACTAGAAATGTTGTGCCTAAGCTTTAATTTGAAAGGGTTTTAAAAATTATTTTTATTTTTACAGTGTTGTAAGTAATGTCTGTATTCAGAAATAATACACTGAATACTTTTCTATTGTACCTAGAGTGGTAATTTTGTACCAAAAACTCTGTACTGATTTTTCCTAAAGGAACTTGGAAACAAAACAGTATGGCCATTGTATTTCAAACATTAGAGCAATTGTTTAGTACATGTGGTGCAACCCTAAATTTCCATGTCAGAACATGGTGCCAACTCTGAGTCTCTGCAAATTATGATACTGTAGGCATGCACATGTTTAAACAAGTGCTTTCCTATCTTGGGGTTATATAATAGTATTTATATATACTGTTTGGAAAAGCCAGACAACACTCTAAAGTGATAAAAAGGAACCGAAAACATATGCTTATTTTCTACACCATTGTACATTTGAAACAAAGCAAAACCTCTTATGGTGCTTGGCTCTTTTTCTGAGTATATTGGCATTTGTTAGATATAAATGCTAATAATGCTTATTCTTGTATGTTGTAAAAAACTGTAGGTAGGAATAAAGAGGCCTAGTAAAACAAATAAGGATAAACAAATAATAATTAATTGCCTGCAGTTGAAAGTACATTGCGCTATAGCTTGCATTACAATAGTGCACTCATAAACCTGTGACTCCGAACATCTTTACATTACAGATTTAGGCAGCCAAAATATTACTGTAACTGCATTTCAACAGGCTACCTAGTGATTTAACCTACTACTGAGAGTCAGGAGAATATAACTCATCCTCCACAATGCCTAGACATCACCAGCTTTATTTCTGAGGATATCCTGGAAAATGGAGCTGTGAAAACATTCCAAGAGCTTCAGTGGGATTATTGTCTATGACAAGATCCTCTTTGACAATACACAGACCTTGGTGCACATAATACCTGATAAAAATCAAACCTCACCATTGGGACCACTCTGCTTGCTCTGCACAGTATTTCAAATGGATTTATATTATGTGGAATCAGCACCATCAGTGACGAAAACTAGCTCACAGCTTCTCACCCACACGCTCAGTTTAAGTGTCCATTGTACTTTCAAACATCTTGTTTTCTTCCTTTTCAAAAAAGGTTTCCCATGTGCCATAATACATAGCCCTGGAAGATGCTGTTCATTGTACTCTATTTCCCATTATGGACAAAACAGATTACCCTCTGAGATACTATTTCCGATTTTCTTTTAATTATAAAAATAAAAATATGTTTTCCTATAATGTTTATTATTCTTCTTGGAATATGGAAACAATGGCTGTATAGAATAGTTAAGACACAGTGCAAGATTAATTGATTGCAGGATCAGCAGTATACTCAAAGAGCATTAGTTTTCCCCAAGGTAAGAATATTATTACAAGTTAGAAGAGGGCTGTAACAGGCAGTGCTGGCCCTTGAAACTGAGCTCCATGTACACCCCCACACCACTGCTGTTTTCAGTCTAAGCCTTATGCACTGGAGCACTGTGGAGGATGATCATGTGACCAGTGTAATTCCCTAATGCATGTGTGACCAGATAGCTTAAGAAAAGAAGAGCATCTCCCTCCAGTGAAAAATATTTGTTAGACTGGTAGCTGCTGAGAAATAATCTATGTGAGAAACTTAAAAGGTAAGCACGTTGTTTTGATTAGAGAGCCAGACCTAGGAAAACAGCGAGAGGAAAGCTAAGCTTTATGGGAAAGTGAAGAAAGAAACTGCAGAAGGCAAAGACGCAACAAGTTTGGTTTGTAACTGAAGAGGGCTTTTGTTCTTGTTAGTATTAGAAATTAGTATCCTTTTCAGCTATAAAATACAATTAGGGTTATGTTGATCTTGCTTTGCTGAAACAAGGAGCTGGGCAGATTCAGGAGAAGTGCGTGACTCATGGAAAGAGTAACTAGCAAAGAACTTGCTTGACTTGAACTCTTGCTATAGAGATTTTATTTACCCCAGGGGAAGGGTGAAAGTTTCCAGTTTGGCATAGTGCTAAACTACTTTACCAGTGAGAGAGAACTCAAAGCCTCCTTTGCTGAGAAGATAAGCTTTCATGTTACAGGATAAGGGCTGACATGTAATGAAGAGTAGTACACAGCAAGAGAAGAAAAAGATGCCTTAAATCATCTTTCTTTTAAAACTAGTGAAAACTAGCTAATGGGGTGCTCAGCATATATATAGTATTTAACTAGGTGGTCACAGTGACTTCTTTTCAGTACCTAAGACAAACCATTACACATCTGTTTACAGCAGACTTTTACCAAACAATTAAAAAAAAAAAAGATCCCTGCTTTGAGGAGCAGAGAATCTGTTACAGCTCTTGCAGCACTATTCTTTTCCATGCAAAACTTAGAGAATTCAGACAAAACACTTTTTTGAGTTTTATTCCTAATATGAATCATAAGCCATCTATCTGTAAACAACACTTAAGTGCGCTTCAAAATTTTTACTGTAGGAACAGCTGGAAAGAGCTAAATTCCAGAAAATTACTTGCTAAAGAGGGGTACTTTATATGCAAATTCAGCCTCAGCTAATCCATACAAACATGTTCTAATAGAAAGGAAAAAGGCATACATACCAAAGCTGCTGATCAGAGCTCTTACAGCAGTCTAAAATACGCATAAATTAAGCAGTACTCCCCAATTTCTCCTGAACAGAGCAGAAAGTAAACCTCATGTACTGCTTGCCTTGGGGTCACAGAAAGAGAGAGAGAGAACAGGAGATTTGGATGCAGATTCCAAACAAACACTTCTAATAAATGAGTTATGAATATGGAGCTTCATTTTTTTTTTATAAACCCTACCTCCAAATATGAGGAACTACTTAAACTGTTGTTGTGAATCTTTTGTCTAAAGTTACTAAATCTTTCTGTAGCTTTATAAAACAACTTTGTTCAGTCTGATTGTCTTGTCAAATCACCTGGATCCTTTCTGCACTAAAAACAATACTTGAATTCTTTAAGAAAAAACCTTTATCAACATTAAATTTGAAAATAATAGAACAACAAGTAGCAGGAATTCAACGTGTCAGCCCTATCTTTGAGCAGGACTAAGTTATTTAGTAGAGATCCATTCTAGACTGTGAAAGATATGTGATAACGAAGATGATGAACTGACTGAAGAACAGCTGTACAGTTATGGCTTGCAAAAGCTGCTTTAAATGATGAAGCAGAAAATATCAGTATTTGATGAACTGTACTGTAAAGAATCACAGAAGATTCTGATAGATCCTGAGAATGTGACATAGTACTTAAGCAAAACTGGTGAACACTCAAAAAAACCAACTCATCATTGTTTTTGCTGATCAGTGCTAAGGACTTACATATGGTCCTTGTTCATGTTCTCTCTACTGGAGGGAGTTTCTCTCAGTTTCAGTAGTTGGCAGTCATAATTTCTCATTTTCACAATTGCAGTTGCTGTGAAATCACCTCTGCTTGAAAAGCTCTTGCAAGTTACCTCTCTGGGAATCATCAAACTTGCCATTTTGGAGAATACAGATCACTGTCAGCCATAGGTACGGCCTCATGGAAAATGAGAGACACTGCAGGTAAGTCAGCTTAGAAGGAGTATAGGAATTACTTGATCTTAGGACAGCTATAGCCATCGATGTGCTTAGAACAGAAATAGACAAGAAGCTTTTGTACAAATATTGTTGTTCTTTGTTTCTTCAGATTGCATATTTTCAGTTCAAGATTGTGTGTGCTCTGATAGGTGGAAACTGTGCTCCTTGAAAGTTCTATGCTTGTTTTGAAAGAAAAGAATAGAAACACTTTTTTTTTTTTCCAACCCGAAAACTGTAAGTTTGAATACAAAAGCTATTTGCTATCTTTTAGGCAAAGGTACCAAATTCATCTATGCATGGATCTTGAATCTAGAGGGTTTTCACTGTGTGCTGCTGAGTAAAACTCAACAAAACTACAATGAGAAAAAAAGGCTGTATCACTCAAGAGCATTTGCTCTGAATGCTTACTTTCCCAGCTGACTGTAATCTGTAAAGAGAATGGCTTTTCTCTTTGCAGTCAGCTACATGTGATTCAAACAAAAATTTCTCAGACCTTTTACCACTGAGGCACATCATCAAGTTATTTCCAGATTGGAATGCAGATGTATGTAGCTGAGACTCTGTGCATGCTGTTCCTAACTGCTGCGTGTGATGTTTCACTGCCCTGTAAATCTCTTTTCTAGTGAATCAGCCCCCAGACATCACAGGAGAGGCTTCTGAAGAGACCTTCAGCACAGCTCTGTGGAGACACCGCCTGTGCTGGGGTGAGGAACCCCCCTGGCAGAAGTGAGTGAGTGCATGAACGAGGGGAGGAGTACGACTGCCTGTCAGGTGAGCTCCCTTTGCTGGCGATGAGGAGCTGTGGTTGAGTGACTCACTGGCTGGCCGTCACGGGAATGTCTGAGAGCAGGACGATGTGGGCATGCTGCGGACAGACCACAGGCCATGCACTGTTTAGATTCATCTGCTACTGCTTTAGGGAATCACAGCAAATTACAACCTGGAAATTATAAAACTTTATTTTAAATCCGGGGTGAATACAGATCTCATCATTTTCATATTCATCCTTTGTTCAACCTCTGTGCTCTGAGCCCAACAAAAAGCTGCAAAACTGCCTATCACCAACAGGAATGGAAAAAGGATCTCATGACACGACAGACTCTGAAGCAGGTTAAAGCTTTCACATGAATTACTCTACATTCCATAGTCTTTGTCTACATTCTTCAATCCAAAGATAAGTGAAATCAGTAAGAAATCTTTCCACTGCTTGCAGCTCATTGAGATTGAAGCCCTTGGATCACTTTTTTGTGCTGCTGCTCCACCTATTTGTGGGCTGTGCATACAGTTTAGGAACACACTCTTTCTTGCTGAAAACTGCTGGGCAGGTCCCTCTGTCATTGTCCCCATGTCACTCTGGCCCAGGACTTCTTGCTGCTGCCCCTTTGCACAGGGAATGCAGCAGCATATGAGCTACTGCTATGTATGCTTAGCTTGCCTCAAGAAAAAAATCCTTCCATTAGGTATCTAACACGATGTTTGTATGATAAGGACAACTTAAGTCACTGGCTTCCTCTGACCTCCTTGTGCCTTTGTTTAGCCCAGAGTCTTGCAGACTATTTGGGACAGCTACAGTTCAGCAGCTCTACAGGAGCTCAAAGTAATCATTCACATCACCTTCATTTTTCCTGTTGTAAACTATGTTTTAATTGTTTGGGTTTTTAAACCCCTACCAGGCCATTCCTGGCTAAGCCCCTTAGTTACCAGGTCACGTTCGATCTTCTCTGATACAGACAAAGCTTTGTACTAGTTGAGCTTGCCTCTCTACAGTATGCTGGCATTACAACCAGCCTTGTGGCAAGATCAGTTCAGACTGTGCTCAGCACTGTGTTTAAGCCCAGGTGTTTAACTTTTCACTGGGATCTGATTCATCCTTTCTGGAATAACCTAGCTCTTCTGGTCTCCTCTAGTTCACAAGTTCCCCACTGCAGCCTGCAGCAGGGGGCCTTGCATACCATTACCCTGCAGGCATACTTTCCTGAAACAGGTTTCTATCCCACCCAAAATGGGCACAAGCTTTGTCTGTTTTTGCCTGAGGTTGTTAGGCACAGTGCCACAACTTGGCATATGCTCAGAGGGTAACTGAGACTCCTCAGAGGTCCTCTGGCTAACTCCTCCTCAGAGCAGGGTCAGTGCCCAAGCATCCTGATGCAAACCTCAGACAGACACACTACAGACTGACATTAAACACCTCTGCAGACACCTTTTGCTATTGGAGAAAAAGTGATGGAAATGAAAGACTAGCATTTTTCTCCCTACCTCCTTTTTTTTTTAAAAAAAAAAAAAGTTTGTAATTTTCATTTCACCACCTTCCACCACAAGCTTTCAAAAAGCAGCAGACAGAGGAACCTATACACATATTCCCAACCTCAGCACTGGTGTGGCTGGAAGCTGCTCCAAGTGTATCATTAAAAGTAGTATTCTGCCCTTTTTTTAGTCCAAAGAACCAGAATCTGCTGTTCTGTGTGCCCAGATGGTCTTTGAACAATTGTTTACTCTGATTGTTGAGCTCAGATTCTACTTTTTAGCACAGCAGTCTGAGCAGGACTTGTTTTCTCTCTGTGATCTGGAGAGCAGGGCCCCAAGCTGCCCATCTAGGGTCATCCCAAGCTGTTGGGGCCTGCTGGAAGCTAAGCACAGGCAAGGATGTGAAAATGTTACCTTTGACATCATTAAGTAGCTGCTGCAGTCATGGGTGCTTTTCCCATCAATGATGGCTCCTCTTTCCTTCATCTCAGACTGCTTCCATGTACTTCTCATCCCTTGTCCTAAAGCTGATGGGCTTGTCTGCCTCAATTATGTATAATTATGAGAACTTTAAGACGTTTCAAAGCTAATTCAAGTCAGGAGGAGCTCTATTTTGCCAATATGAAGCTTTTTCCTTTAGTTTTCATACGTCTGAGCAGCATATAGTGCGACAGTGAAAAACCAGGATCCACTGTTCAAGTTTATTTTTGTAGAGGTTAGTGTTCTTGGCATATGACATAGCCATGCTGCGAGAGTTTTCAAATATTAGTTGTAATATTTACTTTGCTTTTGTGAAGAATGTGTTAGTTTAAACATGTCTTCTCCTGAAGGTAAAGTGAAATAGTTAAATGTATTTTTTCAGTTTTATGCTCCTTTCCACCTAATTTCCTCTGTAGTTTATTTATTTTCAGTGTACAGGGCATTGCTCAAAGAAACGAGCAATTTGTGAGGAATAGTATATTTTAAAAGTTCAATGGATATTTTAATTGTTTTGTAGACAAGATATATTTATTTCCCTGAGGGGGAAAATAATTGTAACAGCATAATAAGGAGATTTTCGTATCTTGAAAAAAAATCTTGTATTTCTGAATCAGTTATTTTATGCGAGGGTAACTGAAACTGCCAAATATCCCAGTAGAGATTTCTGCTAGTTCAGGAAAATGGAATTCAAGACTATGCAAATCTGTGCAACTAATTTTAGTATGACGGTTATGTCAGCAAGTTGAAAATAAGCCAAATCCTACTTGCTTCTAGCATTTTGCTGGATATGGCAGTGGTCAACAGTGACAGACTGGCATTAGATTTTTTGCCAAAATGAATCCAAATTTCATTGTGACTTAATGCCTCTCCCACCCCCCCCCCCCCCCCCCAAAAAAAGAAAAAGAAAAAAAAAAATAGTCCTTGTAGCAGCCTCTTGTGGAAGTAGTCCAAGGGGAAAGATGATCAGTACCTTGACTATCATTAGTCTGTCTCCTTTTCCCATCCAGATTGCAATACCTGTATGTTAATCTGACCACTTCAGACACCGAATACCACACAGAACCCATGTTGTTCCAAGATGTGAATTCATATACAGAGCAAGCTGTAAATCTCATCATAAAAGCTTGTTCATCTCTGAAAAACTAGTCTGCTTCAGGTACTTGTGATTCCCAATTGGGAAAGCTGGTATCATTCATCTCTTGGCATGTTTGTACTGCGTCCAATGCAACAGAACCATGATCGCAGTGGGGAGAGGAAGACTTCTTTCTGAGGAGGAGATGGGGAAGGTGCTACAAAGGTACACTTATGGTAGCATGATGATGGAGGGGGAAGCATAAGAGTGTTTACCAAGGTAACATAATGTAAGTTGCCCTGAGGCACAAAAAGATTTATCATTACAGATTCACGAGGCATGGAAGAGGGCCACCAGCAGCGAACGGCTTCAGCAAAGTCAAGCCACTTCTTTCCAAGGCCTCAGACATTAGTCCACGCCGAATCTGACCATCTGAGTTCCTTGGAAGTGAATGTAAATGCCTACATGAAGACCAAGAAAGCTGGACTTTTTGTGAAACATTAGTAATTATATGGTGGTAGCACTCAGGAACTGCTGACCATGGAGTAAACACAGTTTCTGCCTGAAGGCTGGAAGGTACAGTTCTGTACAAAAAATACTTCATAGAAGTTGTGTTACCATCAGTGTGGTCTTGCTCTGCAAATCTACTTAATCTATGTATTTAGAGTCATGTGCGCTTTAGTGACGTAATAAAGGTCAGTTAATTCTTTTCCCTACTCTGATGACAGTAAAGTTAAACTGTTCACTTTCATTCAAAAGAAATACCTTCTTGATTAGAGTAACATATACATCTAGGAAGCTGTGGCTAAAGGTACAATTTAACCTACAAAATACAGGGACTTCTTTGCAGACACTTGAATACACTAGAAACCGATTGCCAGCTGATTTTTTAGTTTACAAGAAATTGTAGAGTCTGCCTTTTCCCAAAAGTTTGGAGTAGTGTTATTGAAGCTTGTGGGCCCTCGCTACTGTAAAAGTGCTCTTCTGTAGCCATAACTAGGGCTGGTCAGAGCGTACAAGTGAAACCCTCACATGTATCATGAGCTCCCAACTCCACTTTTTTTGCAGGTGCCCTGACCAGTGGGTGTAGACAAGCACCAGGACCTCTAGCTGGTCTTTCAGTGCAACACACTGAGAACTTCTGATGGTTCAGCTGCTGCCTGGCTAACCTGGACGTCAGGTTGCAGGAATACTTTGTGGCACTGCTGCGTATCATAGAATCATAGAATCACCAAGACTGGAGAAGACCCACAGGATCACCCAGTCCAACCATCCACCAATCACCAATAGTTCTAACTAAACCATGTCCCTCAACACAATGTCCAAACATTCCTTGAACACCTCCAGGGTCGGTGACTCCACCACCTCCCTGGACAGCCCATTCCAGTGCCTAAATGTAAGTCTGTGATCAGCCACGCTTAGGTCACTTCACCCTCAACATAGCATGCATATACCCTGCAGCCTCTTGCTAAGGGCCTGGCAAACCAGGGTCCCAGGCCCACAGTTTGTGAGACACAAGGCCACAGTCCTGTCCCCTTTGTTTGCTGAGAAAGAATTTGAAGGTCTGAGCACTGCCAGCTTTGTTCAGAAGGCCTTCTGCACACACCTCATGGAGCTGGCCCCAGAGTAATGAGAATGAAACAGAAGTGTATATGGAGGCTTAGCTCTCTCATTTTGGTTTGAGTAGTATTATTTTGTTTCTTACTGCAGATACTGTCACCCTCACACTTGTTCATTAAGTCTCTCCCTGGTTCATTAAGTCTTTAACCCTTGAAACAATCCTGCCATCTTGTCAGACAGCAAGTCTCCTGCTCATGGTGTTCCGACCAGCTCAGCCCACCTCAGCCAAACCCTAATCACAGAGCACCCAAAGCACAGCCTCTCTGGTGCAAGCTGTACAGACTGAGGACCCTTCTCTATGTTTCTCTGTGTTCACCCTTCAGACGCAAATCAGAAGGGGAGAGGAACAGAAGTGGTGTAGCTGGCAGGTGGTGCAGGATGCTAACTCCTGCATCTAATAGCACGCCCAGTTGATGCCTTTTCTTTTGGAGGTAGGAGGCAGCCAGAGGAGTTTTCTCTCTTGCAGATACTGTTTGCTCAAGGAGCTGTAGTAAATTCTTGGCTTGTTTCTGAAAGGGCAGCACACAGCCACTCGGTGCTGGTTAGATGTGTCTTGCTCTATAGAAGCAGGGACTTCTATATGCTAAAAAAAATTTGAGCCGAGCTTTTGACTGCAGCAGCACCGAGGTTCTCTTTTTAGCTCTTAGAACTTCTGTGGTCAACTCAGTGTGTTAATGCAGCCAAACCAGGTCCCTAACTCCTAAACTTTCCAGAGCTGGGAAGGAAACAAAGTTTAAAAAAAGTGACCAAAACCAGACAAACAGACAAGAAATGTGTGGATTGCCGTGTAAGAGGGAAAAAAAAAAGGGAGAAGACAAAGAGATCTGCTGTGTGAATTTGTGAGGAAGACTTGATCTAAACCAGTTAATCTCAGCTAATAGTTAGAATTTTTTCAGTAATGTTTCTGAACCTAGATCATTTTTTGCAAGGCATCCACCTTCGTGGATCTATTTCTCTTGCGATCCCTCACCATTTGTTGTACAGTAGCCAGTGATACACCGCCCTTGCACTCTGTGTGACGTGACTTAAAACCCACATTTCTTAAAAGCAACTGGCTCCTGCTGTGGAATGATGCAGCTTTTGCCCTCTGTACAACAACCCCAGCCACACAAGTAGTTGTGATCTCATGCCGGAAAACTTCTGAAGGACAGCGGCCTTGTGCAGAGCAACAATCCCGAGTGCCACATCAGTGTCACGCTGCTCACTCAGTCTTCTCACCACTTCTCTGGTTTCAAGGTATTTTTTTGTTCCCCAAACACTGTAAAAATATTTAGCATGCTTAGGATTGACAGTAATTATCCTTTGGAAGTGTGAGCAGTTCAGCTGATCAGGATGTTAAAGAAAACACCGCAGATGTACACGTTCACCAAGGGAGGAGGCAGCGGTCTCAGCAGTTAATTTCTGAATTATTTTCAAGGTGGATCTTTTAAGCTTTATCTCAGCTTCCTTCCAAACCTCTGGAGTTCAGGCTCTACTGTAGCCCCGTGGGGATTTTTGAGCCTCCGGTGCCATTTTCTCCTCAAACTCAGGGCACTGAGGCGGGAGCCTTTGTTGTCGATGTGGCTCCCTTATGCGGTGGCTACAGAGAGCTCCCATCTCTCATCTATTTAAAACATCTATTTTGGAGCAGTTTTAAATAGATGGGAACTAAGGAGGAAGGGACCGCTGTGCTCTTAACTCTGGCTTTTGCCTGGAATCCTGTCAATGCGAAACCCTCCTGCTCCCCGTGCCGGCTCTGCCAATGGCGTTTAAGAGGAAAATCTCATGTGTTTGGAGGCAGGGTCAGTGTCCTTAAAGCTCTGGAAAGGAGCAGAGGAGGACCTGCGGAAGAAGACCTAGATTCCAAGCTGCTGCATTCACAAGCTGTTTGATTCTCCGAGAGGTTTTTTTTTGGGGGGGGGGGGGGGGGGGGGGGGGGGGGGAAATTACTTACTCAA